CCGGCATTGCCACGTTACGTCTTTCCGGGACTGTCAAGTCCGGGGAGCTTCGAACCACGATTACGTCTTTACCGACTTCAAGTCCGGTTTCGACCACGACGGCAAAGATTTCAACCATGGCTACGACATCTCGACTTTAATATTAGACTACAACTACAGGCTACGACAGGGACGATGACTACTACTTCTTTTGACTACAAAACATGTCTACGGTCTATGACTTGTTATGGACTTTAAACCTTTTAGGCATTACGGATAACAATAACGAATCATTTACGGCTTACCAAGCTGGGCTACAATCACAAAAGTAAATTTGGGCAACTTTTATACTTGCAAATAATACCTTTAGATGATTTAAATAACTAGAGAACAGCCCTAACAACGACAAACCAAAGACAACGAGTACGGGCTAAACATACAGCAACGACTACGGTTTTTTTGCCGAACAACTACGACTACTAATTCGACCATTTCTACGACTTCTACCACATTTACGTCCTCAAGTCATTATCTTATGGCGGCGACGACCCTCGAACACGAGTATTCTAGACTTCTAAGGACGCCACGGGCTTTAACAACACAAGGTTAAACTACTACATTGTATAGTACTACGACTTATAGACTACGAAATTTAAGTTTTGGAAAAAAATACGACTTTTTGCGGTACGAATTTTTTGACTACTTTCAACGTCTAGTGCGGGGAAAAAGTGTACGGGGTTTAAAAATGCATGTAGACCCAAAAGTTTCCCAAAGGGTATTATCACCACACGACTTTTTACGACTACGACTACGACTGCAAAAACCCGGGCGAATAAAACCCACGTCTCCACCTCCAACAATGAAAGGCCATGGGCTAGAATTCATGTTTTTATGACATTTTATTAAAAAAGATACGGGCAACCCTTTACGGCCACGACTACTACGGGGCAAGTGAGGGCCCCTTTTTTTGACAAAACCAAAATAATTTGGGGTTTCGACCAGCAAAGGAAACCAGACCAGCCTGCGCAAACCACTATGTTGGTTTTGTAAAAAACCCCGGCTTTAAAATTTTTCTTTTCAAAATACACCTTTTACGACATCGGCTAAGACTAAAAATGAAAAGTGGGCGAAATCACTGATTTTGCATTAAAATTTTAAAAAATTTAATATCAAAGGGTACTCTAATATTTATTTACAGAAGTACGTGTTTACATGCATGTCCCCTAAAAAACACACAAGAAAAACATACAAACAAAACAATCAACAACAAAAACAAAGAACCTATTATATATATTGAACAATAGGGGTCATTTTCTGTTCATCACTTATCCTTCTGCAGGTAAAGGTGTTCTTTCGTTCTTGATTAATTTTTTGTGAAATGGCTAAAGTGATTTACTGGTCTGAAAACTATTTTCTCATGATCAGTGCTCTTACATAATATGGAAACTAATCAAATGAAGTCTTGGCCTTGGGGATTGAAGAAATAGGCAATGAAATCTTTTCAAACGAATAACAGGTTAAAATTTAAATTGTGAAAGTTTTGATGAAAAGTTATTTTAACATATTAACAGGTGTTTTAACGTGTGAAAATGTTATGCTTCGAACCTCTTGACTATCAACTGACCGACTTTACCTAAAAGTACACAAAAAGTATCAGTTACAAAACATTATATAAATTTGCAGAGTCAAACTTAAAAGAAATGTATTCACATAAACAATTTAATTAGTACATGTTGCAAGATTTTCAATTTTATAGAATGTTTAAGATTTAAATGTGCTTCAATCGTAAAGCACCCGTTTACTTCGGAAAAGATGTCTCGTACAAAGAACACAAATACACCAACGCAATTTGCCCTTGGAACCAAAACAAAGTTCATTCGCCCAAAAAAATTACCCAAATTTGTCTAGGGGAAAAATTTTAAAGAAAAATTTCTCTTTTATTTTTTTTTACAAAAAGGGGGCCCCAAAGGAGGCCGCCATTTTACTATTAAAATGACTTTAAAGGGGTCCGATAAGTCGCCTTTTCCATGTCAAAGGTCCCATTGGAACATTTTGCCGAGAATGCCCGAAAAAATTAAAATTAAAAATTCTTGGACATTTTATGTACATACCAATAAAAAAAATTTTAATTTTTAATACGTTTTGGGAAAAAAAAATTGAGTCAAAGAAGTTTAATATTAATTGCCTTTTTTTTCAAATTATGAGGAGTAATCTATTCTTAAATAGGTTTAATTTTATCATTCGATTGTCAAGTTTTAAAGATGCCACGCTGTAATTTTATTTCATTTATTCTCACAATATTCTTAACTGTTGGTGCATTTGCATTTAGTCCACTTATTCCAGTTAATCATCTTCTTTCGGGTATGTGTTATTTATATCATCTTCTATTTTAAGAAGAAGCTCGTGCTGACGATTTGCGCGTGCTCTGGTTCCCATGTTGTCTATTGGTGTTGACAGGAAGTTGTACAGCGAGTAAATCTCGGTGTCGTTTTCTTGCACATTAATCACCTTTCCAAAAACGACCGAAAAAATTTTCCCAAACCCCGTAAATTAATACTTTTGTTTAAATGCTATAAATTTTACCTTTTTTTCAATTTCGATAATTTCCATAAAACGGAAGTAGATTTTTGCAAAGCGTTTCTACCCTAGGGGAAAAAAAAGCAGTAACGGAAAAAAATATTTTTTTATTCAGTATTCAAATTTCTTCATTAACAATTTGATATAAACTAAAAAGATTAACCCCTAAAATATAATTTATACATAATTTGCGTTGAAATTTGGTTTAATTAAAAATTTAATTTTTACTTTTTCCCTTTCTGCATTTTACGCCAAAAAGCCCCTTTTCCAAATTTGGGTAGCAAAGTTTTTTTTAACGTTTTAATTTTTTAAAATTGGGGACAAATGAATGAATTACATTTATTTTTTAGCATAAAGTCCCAAATATGGCCCCCCCAAATCAATGTTTTTGGGGCCCCGTAAAAAAAAACCCCTTTAAAATTTAAAGGCTATTATAAAACCGGGGCTTTTTCTTGCATTTCCCTTCCCTTAATAAAAAAAAACCCTAGTGCCCCTTATGCAAAGCCACCCCTTTTTCTTTCTTTGATATAAAAACAATGGGATGACAAAACAAAACCCATTAATTATTATTTGGGGAAAAAAAAAACTTTTTTCCCCGTAAAAAATACTTTAAATTACATTTTCTGCTCGTTCTATAGATTTTTTTAAATTCCTATCAGGAAATTTTTTGGGTTTTTAATTGGAAAGGTACGATTTTGAAAACTTTTTGTGTCACTCTTTTTAAATTTTCCAAAAACTGCCGAAAATTTCCCGACCAGGAATTTTAATAATGCGTGTGAATTGTCCCGTCAACATTACCAAGGCTAGGGATGCGCCTTCACGCAGGGTTTTTCCCCATTTCCTAGAAAATTTTCTTTAAATGGTAAAAAAACAAATTGTTTAAATTAAAAGAAAAGTTTAAAAAAAAAGCATCAAAACATTTGTAGGGGTTTGTCCTTTTTGGAAAAAAAGAGTTTTTTTGGCCCCTTTGGGGATTTTTAACGCACTGGCCCAAATTTTTAGCTATGGGTAAGTGTCGGGGTTAAATTTTTTTTTTCTCGCCAACATTTAAAATTTAATATATAGTTTTCCCCCAGAGGGGGAATAAGGAAATTTTACTTGTATTTTTTTAAAAAAAGCTTAGTAAAACTTTTCCCCCTTTTCCCCCGTATTTATTTCGTAAGAAAAAATTAAAAAGTAATTTTTGTAATTTTTATTGTTATTGTATTTTTATTTCCCAAAATCCCCGAAAATTGAGGGGTTTCCCTTTCCCGCCCTTGTTCCTCAAAAATTTTAAAACTGCCTTTTTTTACAAACCAAAAAGTCAATTTTTGCCGGTTGTTTAAAACCTTTAATTTTTGGGTTTTGGAAATTGGTTTAAAAAATTTTATTTTTTTCCAATTGAAAATTTTAACTTTTTGGGTGAAGTGAAATGGTCCTTTAGGTTCCAAAAAGGGTTTAAGGTCATGGTGCTTTTAAAATTGATTTTTACACGTTTGGGTTTTTTATTTTCAAAAAAGTTTCAGGATCGGGGAGTATACAATTTTTTATCCCTTTTTTTGCAGGTTTTTTAAGTTTTGTTACTTTTCCGACAAAAAAAAAAGGGGAAAATTTATCCATTTCCCAATTTAAACTTTCCCAAAAAAACCCAAAAAATTTTTGTTAAAAATTTACAAGGAAAACAGTTTAGGACTTTTTTTTTAATCTTCTTTTTCATGGATTTAACTCCCACTTACGGTGTTAAGAGCCGTTGCCTCTAAGAAGCTACTTTTCACCGATTCTTAAGTTTCATTCCATTATCGGTTTTAAATATCATAAAATAGGTGTGAACAAATGAAGCTTTCGAGTGGCCCAAATAGGCGGATAAAAAAGGCGAGACTTTAGGGCATTTTTAATCATTTCAAGCGCCTTTGTCCGGAATGTACCCCGGGAAAATATGGTATTTTTGGGGTTGTGGTGCTTCCAACACCTTTTTACTCTCACTCTCTATTTAATACCTGTTTCATTTCCAAGCCCTTTTCAATTGTGCCAGCGGCTCAAAGAGCCCTTTCCTTTTCCGCTGGTGTCTTGCATCCTCAAATTATAACATTCCCAAACGTTTATCACTAGTCCGGTCCACAGCCCCGTACCTGACTTTCTTTGGTAAGCGATCCAATCAATATTTGAAAAAACTGAAATCGTTTGACTCCATGTATCATTTATATTTATAATAGAAACAGTATTGATCAATTTTTAATTGATGTTGTGTTAATTCTATTTTTTTAAGGAAACGGAAGCAAAAGGTGGTCAGATTCTATAAAAGAAGCAAACTAAATGCGACCATTCTAAAACGCTGAAATGGGTGGACGCTCTTTTTTATTTGAAAATATGGTGAACTATTTTTTAATAAAAAAATGAATGACAAAGGTATTTCTTGGATAAATACATATGACGGTAACCTATTCAGAATATTATATTCCGGATAATATGATCATTTATTAATTAAAACTCATCTCACATTGTTAGAGCGTTTGTCGGAATTAAACAATCCAGTGAAGAAGTTGACAGTTGCTGAGACCACATTGAGAGCTACACCCTGTACACCCCCAGATAGCGCCGGTCCCGGCGACAGTGCCGTGTCCAAGAAAGTACGCCCTGAGCTCGAGTCTTTTGATTCTACACGAGCTTTCTCTATGAAAATATAAAAGGTGAATAATAAACCATATTGTAAATATCTTTATTTTTTAAGTATAATGTTTTATACAATGCAATAATTTACATCGTAAGAATACAATCAATACAGACATTTCAAGATTGATTGTGTATAATGAAATTTTGAGAAATTATGAAAGAATAACCATATGTGGTACATATTGTGGCTGATTTGTGCCATGTCGTACTTTCGCTCCACGGGACGGAACGGCGAAAACACAAAGGTACGACAAAGTCAACTTCCGCTCCAAGTTCGTGTTTTCGTCTGGTGCCCCGCGGAGCGAACATACGACATGGCACAAATCATCCAAACCTAGGCATTACAATATATAATTTTAAACTACATTTTGTATTATCATAATTGTAACAACAATCATACTCCTACGTGTATGTACAAATATTTCGCGAGAAGGTAATGTAAATGAACACGTTTATTGTGTCGCCTCTACGGAGTAGTGGCGACATATAGGGATCACTTCTCCGTAGTCTGTCTGTCCGTCTGTCTGTCCCAAAACTTGTCCGGACTACTCCTCATAAACAACTGGTGCAATTTCATCCAAACTTTACAGGAATGACCAGTACCAAGTGTAGTTGTGCATATTGTCAGCATTTTCCGGTTCAATGATTTTTGTCAGAGTTATGACCCTTTAATAATATTTATTTTTAAAGTTTGTCCGGACTACTTCTCTTATACCACTAATGCAATTTCAATGAAACTTTACAGGATTGATCTGTAGCTCAAATCCTTGCGCATATTGCATTGGTTTTCCGGTTGAATGATTTTTGGCCGAGTTATGGCTCTTTGATAAAAAGGTGTTTTTTTCTGTGTGTTGCCAGATACACAAAAGCTTGTCGGGACTACTCCTCATAAACTACTGGTGCAATTTCATCCAAACTTTACAGGAATGACCAGTACCAAGTCTAGTTGTGCATATTGTCAGCATTTTCCGGTTCAATGATTTTTGACCGAGTTATGGCCCTTCAATATTTTTTTATTTTTAAACTTTGTTAGGACTACTTCTCTTATACCACTAATGCAATTTCAATGAAACTTTACAGGGTTGATCTGTATCTCAAGTCCTTGTGCATATTGCACGGGTTTTTCGGTTGAATGATTTTTGGCTCAGTTATGGCCCTTTGATAAAAAGGTGTTTTTTTCTGTGTGTTGCCAGATACACAAAAGCTTGTCGGGACTACTCCTCATACACTACTGGTGCAATTTTATCCAAACTTTACAGGAATGATTAGTACCAAGTCTAGTTGTGCACTGTCCGTCTGTCTGTCTGTCCGTCTGTCGCAAAACTTGTCCCAACATAAAATTGGCCATCATGAGGCGACACATGTGATCACTGATCGCTCTTGTTTTACCAGTATTTTCCCAACATTGTTCGCGCTTGGATTGTAATAGTTTTAACTCCTCCTCCATTCTTTTCTTTTCTTCATTCAATTCTTCCTGTGCAAGTTCCGCCGCCCTGGCGAGCTGTTGTTCTCTCTCCATTTGAAAACCCAACTTTTTCTGCTGATCGACCACATACTTGTTTCGCTTACTTACACTCGCCATGTTTTCTTGAATTTGAGCTTGTATCTCCAGATATCTGTATCAGATATATAGCATTTTACAGGATTTTTCATTTAACATAGACCAATATTAAAGTGTAACATTCAAGGTTGGTATGATAACATGTTACTACATTCTAAATTTCACCATTTTCCATACTTAAATGTTGAATTCAGTTTAAGCCAGCGCAAAGGGGTGTGAAATACCGTGTTCATGTATTTCTACCGTTCAAAAACGCGAGCCTGCAACATTTTTCATTTTCTGCTGTGTACGGAAGGTCTCCATTTTATTTATTTTAGAAAAGCTATTAAGCAATATTTGGCGAATCTTAAAACAGTCTGTATGAGATTACAATAGATGTAAAATTATTTTTTATTAAATTATATCTTAAAGCCAGAAATGACAAAGTCGCTGTTACATTAAAACAAGCAATGTTATGCTACAGTAAAATAATTCTTAATTGGGTTAAAATTGTGAAAATATACTAGACAGTCTAACCTTTTCTGTGTCGATTCGGTCTCTATCTTCATTTCTTCAGCGATCTCAATTATCTGACCAAATATTTCTTTCACAACTTCTCCACTCTAGAAAATTATGAAATAGTTTGGTGAAAACTAGAAAGCATTATAACTGAACAATAATCTATGTTTTTCTTAGTGTTAATGAATTTAAACGCACATTAGTACAAATAAATCATAAAATATGTAGTACATATGATTACAGTTGTTAAGTATTAGCGCTTATGGGGAGCGGAGGTCTAGTGGTTAAGGTGTCTGCCTCTCAACCCAGGGATCATGGATTCGATTCCTAATCCGGTCACGGCCATGTTTCTTTATATGACACCATTACTGGCCACGGCAATGTTTCTTTATATGACACCAGTACTGGCTGGTTCCAGGAAGAGGACTCGAAAGTGATTAAAATAAGTTGCAAGAACTTGTTTCGCAATCGAGCTTAAAAAAATATGTTTAAACCAAATTTTAATGCTTAGTTCTCCTCTTGTTGTTTTTGGTTGTTGCCTTTTATTACAGTTACAATTCTTTTATGATAGGTATGTAAGTGTTGAAGTGTTATGTGAACCTGAAGTTCTGTAACGGCATCAAGGGTCATCGGAATCAATGTGTTGACTATATGAGCTGTTGTCACAGTAAACTTCTTCATTAGCCCTGCAGTCATTATGTGCTGGGTTCGAGCTGAGTGCGCCGTCATGCGAACCTTAAAACAACAACAACAATTAAACATGATATTGTAAAGAAGGGGATTTCAAAAGTTTTATTTCCATATTTTCGAACGTCATTTTAATTCCGTCAGAAGCTTTTGCACAATAATAGGTATGTCTGTTAACACGTCTAGTCAGGAGTGTATATGACATGAATGCAGAGGAATTAACACTTCATATATTGTTTTGTAGTTTTAAACAGCATTTTTATAATATTTCCTTCACACAAGAGAAATCACACTCTTAATAAACGAATATTTGCAATCTTGTTTACAGTCTCTACATAAATGTGTTTCTGTACACATTTATAAAAAAAATTATAGTGAATATACTGTGTCGAGGTTATGACATTGCAATGAATGGCTGAAACGTCTAAGCAATCGGAAGGTTTTTTTACCTCTATGTTGAACCGTTTGTCAGAGATCGAAAATATGTACACGTATGTGATATATTCAACCTGTCATATGTGACAGAATAACAAGAAAATGTGTTGTATTTTTATATATTTCTACAGTATGCAAAAAGAAAATAATGATAAAAATCTCTTATTAACTATAGATAGTTTTAAATGAAAACAGGCAACCCTTTTGCATGGAAAATTATCTAAGAGCACTTGGTATTGGTTATTTCTTCAATTTTAACAAATTTCCTTACATCCCTGGCTTGATCCGGGTGATCAGCAAGCCTTAGGTAAGCGAGTTCCATGTAGTTAGCAACTTCTCTTTGAGCCCGGTACATCTCTAATGTCGCTATCGTCTGCAGCAACTCACGTGTCTGCACGTGCATTTCCTGAAACATAGTACATACTGTATGAAAGCGGTTGAAATACCCTCCAAAACATCACGTGACCGTTTCATTAAAAATACATATGTTTGTACAGTTAGTCTTTTCCTTATGATACTGAAATTTAAGTGCTATAGAAAAAATATACCAATTTTCAACGCTTTTCCCCAAAAGAATGTAAGATCTGCTTGCATTTTTAAGCAAATTTTATATTTGTAAAATAAACAGAGGAAAGTGTAACGACTGACTCCATTTGAACATCATTTTTTTCTTTAAAATTACAGATTTGGGAGTTTGTACAATACATAATATAACGGGATATTTGCCTTAAAACAATACATTTTACAACATACTATTTGCGTTATATCAGAGGGCCATCTTATTGTTACATATCTCATACATTAAACGGTTGTTAATAGTAATGAAATAACATGATGAAAGACATTTTAACTCTTGTTTCAACGTAACTGATTAGTTTATAATCTGGGACATAATAGCATAACACTTTATGTCCCATATATCACTATGTCATGTCAACGCTTGAACGATGCTTTTTGCTACCAAATAACTGGGTCTTTATCTAATTACACTTATATACATTTACTGATGTTAATCCTAAATCTGTAGTTATATGAAAATAAAACTAAGTCGGAATAAGTCGTAATAAGTATGATAAAAACACCAATACACTTTACTGTAAAGAAATGACAGGTGAAGATTAACCAGTGTGTGACAATACTAGTACAATAATTACATATACATATATTTATAGTATCACTTTAATGATTAACATGACAAAATTTAAAAACATTTCTATAATAACAATATACAGCAATATTTTTTAAAAAACAATTTACAGGTAGAGAATAAAAATACAAGTACAAATGATGAACATATTTGAGATACATATAATTCATATGATAAAATTTTTTCATCACTGGAGTCTTTCAAATTTGTATTTGACATCAAATTAAAATTTTAAACCGCTTGTCATCTGCAAAAGCAAAGTATAAAATACAATTCTATCTTATTATAAAACTCATCATTTAAGAAATGAAAGTCATCTTCTTTTGCATTCATAATACATATTTGACATGTTTTTCTTTCGTCCATATGCGAACAAATATTTCACTCCTTATACAATTTTATTCCCAGTATAATGCCATGTAACATTTACATGGAAGCACTTTGCCAAAAGTCTATGTACTAAGTTTCCAGTGATTTCCCTTTGAAGTTTTCCTTTTCGTTATTTGATCGTTCTACTTTTTTCTATAAGAAGACTGTTAATCGTATATTGATTGATTGATTGATTGATTGATTCCTTCGTTCGTTCGTTCGTTCGTTCGTTCATTCATTTATTCATTCATTCATTCATTTTAAGCATACTGTTTGTATATTATTGACCCATACTCATTTTTGTGATATCCACATTAATACTCTTTATAACAATTTTATAAAAAAAATTTAATTAAAAAACATGAGCCGTACCGTGACAAAACCAACATAATGGGTTTGCGACAAGCATGGATCCAAACCAGCCTGCGCCTCCGCGCAGTCTGATCAGGATCCATGTTGTTCGCTTACAAACCCTATAACAGACTTGAAAGAGAAACTGATAACGAACAGCATGGATCCTAATCAGACTGCGCGGAGGCACAGGCTGGTCTGGATCCATGATGGTCGCAAACCCACTATGTTTGTTTTGTCAAGACGCGGCTCAGTCATCATGAAAGTATCCATTAACTTCAGTCATGCTAAACTTTAGTCAATAAACGTGTCATTTCTAATTTGCATATTTTTTAATATTTCATATAGGGATTGTAAACATTTTAAAATTGATCCTCTTTTGACCCTGTTAACATCTTTAAGTTGAATCAGCTACGATGTAAAATTCGTTCAGGTCAATGACTGTAAAGATATTAAATTCAAAATATTCTTAAGTATTGTACTATTATATATGATAATCATATAATCTTAATACATCTATTTAAAAAGCTCTTTCATCAATATTGGGTGTCCATATGGCGTCACCATTACATATCATTATGACGTTTATTGACAGAATTAATCTTCTCTATATTATCCAAGATAATCGGGTTACTTTTCCTTAATATAAAGATTTTTTTTATTCAAAAGATATCTTTCACTTCAAACTTAAATGGTCACAGGGTTAGTATATAATGTCTAGCATTTCTGTGTTTTACACAGGTGCTATTCTCGCTCTTCTCTATCACGTCGCTTCCAAATCCAAGGACTACATAAGGTACACCACTTTTTTAGAATTTATTTCTTTTTAGATGATGTTATTTTATTTTAAGATGGATCTCAAAAGTACATTTATCTCAGACGAGAATATTTACTTAATTAATTGGTTTACATGATTGGTAGTACAACAAAATCATTCAAAAATTTCAAAAAGACGACTAAATGCTAATTGTTATAAAACACATTTTCAATTTTAATTAGACTTCCATTTTGAAAGACCATGTTATACGGATAGTAAAAAAGGGCGGAGTATTTATACGTTTCGTTAAGAATATTATGCAAAATTGTATCAGTAACAATTGGCATTGACATTTTTAAATTTTAGCTTTTATCTAAATCTAGTACATAGTGATTGAATTTGATGAGTTTTAGATTTTGTTGCTCACTATTTCTTATTTATTTGTAGTTTTTTTTTCTAATTTGCTCATAATTATGCACTTCTATCATTACTTTTGATAGCACTACGTATATTCAAGTAGATAAAAAAACATGCACTTGTGATATTTCACTTCCCCTGACATTACCATAGAAATGTCGTTATACTTGTATCGTCCATAAGTTGATTTCTTGAGTGATATTTTAAATAAACGGAACTTATTGCGTTCAATTGATGCTCTCTTTTCTGATGGTTGATTTTCGTCTTAGTTTTAATCTTTCGCTACAAAATCCGAAAATGCAAAAACACGATGTGTCGTCAACACTATGTTTGACTTTGTCGTGTATTCGTCTTATCGTATTTTCGTAGCGAAAAATCGGAATTACGATATGGCATATATCAGCAACTAAACTATACAAAATAATTAATGATAGACTTTGTATTCCATACATATTAGTATAATTTATACTTTTGTTTATTTATTGTTTTAAAATATGTTCATGTGTACTTTTATTGCATTAATTGCTACATTTTAATGCCAGTGTGAATGAATGAATGAATTAATGAATTAATTAATCAATTAAATGTTAAATAATTGAATTGTAAAACCGTTGACCGTGCTGCAATCTTACAAGTAAGTTTGTCATATATATAAATTTAAAGATCCTGTTACACAATTTTTTTTATGGTTTTAAATCATAAATATGATGCTCAAATTAAGATTTATCAATATTGTAGGTTCCAAAAAGCATTATTTATAAAGATCTTACCGAATTTAACATTTCATGTAAATAAAGGGAGCTAATAAAAACTTTATTTTCTATAAAGTCTAAGTCAAATTTTACAATGAGAAATGAATGCATATATTTTAATGATTACATATAATATGCATAAATATTTGCAGTGCATATTTTACATATTCTTTGATGCTTGAAAATTGTTTTATTTACATAATCATGTACATAAAACTAATTTCACTGAGTATGGTTTACCACTTTGATCACAACATACAGGATCTTTTATTTCATGGTTTGAAACAAATTCTTAAAAATTGACAGATGAATTTATAATAAGTACACATAGAAAATGTTAAATTTTGTCAAACTTGTCAAGCCACATAGGGATTTTTTTCTTTTCTTCTTAACCATATTATTATTATATATTTACAGATAAAAATGCCTCAATTTGGCGGAGGAAAGAAATGCGGACGATGCGATAAATCAGTGTATGCTAATGAGGAAATAATCGCTGCCGGAACTTCTTTTCACAAACGACCACGTTCATCATATATATGATATTTAATACTACGTACATCATAACGTTAATACTACGTACACTGTAATGTTAATAATTGAACCAGACAAAACCAGCATAATGGGTTTGCGACCAGCATGGATCCAGACCAGCCTGCGCATCCGCACAGTCTGATCAGGATCAATGCTGTTCGCTTACCAACTCTATTACAAGTAGAGAAACTGATAGCGAACAGCATGGATCCTGATCAGACTGCGCGGATGCGCAGGCTGGTTTGGATCCATGCTGGTCGCAAACCCACTATGTTGGTTTTGTCGTGACGCGGCTCAATTATAACGTATATCAGAATATCAATACTACGTAGATTTACGTTATGATGCTTATACTGCGAACATCAGAATGATAGAACGTACATCATTATGTTAATCCGGGTTATTACTACGTACAATCTAATGTTAATTACTAAGTACATCAGTATATTTAATACTACATACATAAGAATATTTTACACTACATACATTATAATATTATTATTACGTACATCATGATGTTAATGATGACGACGGCGGTGATAATTATGATGTGATGATATTGATGTCAATAATACAAAATTTCAAAATAATGTTTATGATAATGATGACGGTGGTGGTGATGATGATTTTGAAGGTGATGATGATGAATGAATTCTCTTTAACATGTTGATCCCATAAACTACCACACTTGGTGTATCTTTGTTTGTTATGTTTTAGGCGACTGTAACAAGTCACTCGACAGTAATACCGTGGCAGAGAGAAAGGAAAATAATGAGATTTATTGCAAGGCATGCTACGGACGAAGCTTTGGACCTAAAGGATACGGCTATGGTGGTGGTGCTGGGGCTTTAACCAACACTGGAATTTAAACATTACTATAGGAGCCGCGTCACGACAAAACTAACATAGTGCGTTTGCGACCAGCATGGATCCAGACTAGCCTGCGGATCCGCGCAGTCTGATCAGGATCCATGCTGTTCAGTTTCTCTACTTGTTATAGAGTGGGTAAGCGAACAGCATGGATCCTGATCAGACTGCGCGGACCCATTATGTTGGTTTTGTTATGGCGCGGCTCATTAGATTTTTTCCGTGCACTATTCATTACTACAGTGATGTTAGAGTATTGCAATTTTTTTTGTTCCTTTATGTCTGTGCAAACTACTGAATATTTTCAGATATATAAAGATGTACGGAAGAAAATGGATAAATTGCTGTACGGAAGAAAATGGATAAATTGCGGAACATTATTTGACAAGTGAGAAAATCAGACATTAGAAAACAGTTGAAAAGGAACATGAATACACGAAATGTTGTTGTAGTTCATTACATAATATGCATATTCTATTTTTATCGATTTTAAATCTGTAATTAACAATATAAAGACTGAATACAATATGTATAGATGTATTTGATTATATTTTACACTAAGGAATCTATATTTATGTTTTGTATATACATGTACAGCACACACGACCAATTAAAACGTTCTAAAGTACCTAGCACAGTTTTGTTGTTTATTCTATAAAGAATTGACCCAACTTCATAGACCTCTAATACATACCTTCTTTAAACAATAGATAAAAGGTTGTGTTTCATCTTAGAATATTTTCTTGATATGACTATATTTCGGAACATGTTTTATGATGACATCTCAAATATGTATAACACAATATGAGTGCTGAGACATGTTGCCAATGATTTTGAAGTAGCCATATAAAATACAACCCACAGAAAGCAAGTTATTGTGAACCATCTTCTCGCTATATACATGTATGTGATATAACATGCAGGCGATGGGTAATATGCAGTATCTACTATTTCCCTACCAGTCACTTAATTATACCGGAAAACAAACTACATACAGAATCATGTTTGAGTTATGTCCCAGGATGATATGTGATTGCGTGGAAATACTAGTATTTTTTATATAGGTACTGTTTGTATGCTAATATAAAAATGCCCCCTCCCCCCCCCCCCCCGCCCCCCCCCCCCCCTCCCAATCAGAACACATTATATGTCTATGGAAGTTTCACATTGAATGATAAATTGCGCTATAATGAAAATGAGTGTATAATATATTCGCAGACCAATGTGATAATATATTGAGTTATAATATCATATTTTCGCATAGCACATTTTCCTAATACATTATTCTATCTTATGATAAACTAAAATAAGGTTGTTAATAAGGTGGGGGATGTAGAAGCATTATCGTAAAATATTGCACTGTAAATGAATTTATGATCGACTGGGATAGCATTCCGTTATTTAGTTTCCGAGGTTCCCCAGGTACGTGTACATTATTTCGCAAAATTTACTGCACAATATCTCTGATTGATTTATATATTTATATGTTAACATCTTGGCCTGGATATTGAAGAGGTATGGAATGTAAATCACAGATTATAGGCTGTATAATTTCGATCATCTAAATATAACGTCTTTGTTACCAGATTAAGTAGAAACTTGTTTATAGACCTACTATTGTAATAAACAACTGTCTCTTTTCCAACAATCTATTTCAACAAACCTATCTTATATACGACAAAAGGGACACAAGTTTACCGGGTTTCATGATTTACAGTCTAGGGCATTGTCTGTGTTGCGTTCATTTGATACTTCATTTTATAAAAACATTTTCTTTCAGTCAGTGGGTTTGGTGGTGCGGTGTTTGAAAAGATGTAACGCCCACGTCACGACGTAACGAGCTGCGGCGATCAGCGATACATTTATTTCTGAAAACTGTCGTTTCGGATAAAATATACGGATTATTTATCTGAAACTTACACATCGAATTGATGAATCATTGAATAAATGTCAAATATAATTATATTTATTTTCCTTCCCCGAAGAAATAATTTATGGAGTGTGTCCACAAATATATTGATCAACACTCGTCGACTTTACAAAGATGTGTACTGGATTTTTGTAACATTTTATCACCAATTTAATGAAATTAAAGTGGATTGGTCTACAATGGGCACATTTTCCATAAGTATTTCAAATATTGATAAAAGAAACAAAAGCAATGTATTATTTGGATGTTCTTGTAAAATAATATATGTACTTGAAAAAAAATGTTAATAAAGTTATAAGGAATTTTGTCATTTATTTGATAAATAATGATTTTTGCTCTAGAACATTTTATTATTTGCTGAATTAATATATGAGCCGCGTCACGTCAAAACCAACGTAATGCGTTTGCGACCAGCAAGGATCCAGACCAGCCTGCGAATCCGCGCAGTCTGATCAGGATCCATGCTGTTCGCTATCAGTTTCTCTACTTGTAATAGGGTTTGTAAGCGAACAGCATCGATGCGCAGGCTGATCTGGATTCATGCTGGTCGCAAACGCATTACGTTGGTTTTGTTGTGACGCGGCTCATATCAAATTATCATAAAAAGGAAAGAAATAAGTTTTTCCTACTAAGAGTGAGACACATCATCTAATCTAAAAATAAAACTTGTGGTAAAAATTGCAATGTACATGGTGCGTTCACTCCTCCGAGTTCCCCCCCCCCCCCGTCTCCCCATTTATCATTTATTTCTTATTATTTAGTATTATGTGATAACTAATCATGATTTATTCGCATTGCAATGGTTTATCATTAACTTGTATATGATTGACGACGACGGAGAAGAAGAAGAAGAAGAAGTAAATAGTTTATATTGGCAACTTTTACATTTACAGTTTCTCGTTACATACAATAATTACAAATACAGTAATTATATGGTCACATGACAAGATAAAAAATAATAAAAAATAAAGGCATAAAATGTTCAACTAATGAAGTCGAATCAACTGTTTTTCTTACAATTGCTCGTTTTGGAACTAAGAATGTTGAAAATAAGTCTGATTGTTGTTGTTACCAAACAATTTCCATTGTTAATGTCGCTAGAGACCTACAACTGTAAGACCACATACCGCCCTAAGAACAGAACAGTCCTAGTTTTATACATGATAAGCATGAGTATGATACTTGCATTATCCTGTAAATGAAGAGACATTTTTAAATCATAGCAATATATTTATAATATCTTAATATAGACAAAATAACCATTACCCTCTTGGACACCTGTTTGTCGGTGTCAGCTAAGCTTCCTGACGCCATTGAAGGTAAATCTTTTTTCTCAAATTCCGGCAGAATAACGTCCGATTTAGCCATAAAACCGAATCTTCACTCAATAGATCAAAGACAAAAACAAAACATGTGTTTCTTTTTTGCAAGCTAAAATAATGATATACAGCGGAAAATAACGTATTAAGTGTTAGACCACCATACTGAAATTGCCAAAGGAAGTAAATTTGTTGAAATTTGTTATTCCCATGCATGCTCAAATTATGCGGTTGAAATAGCGGATTTTTCAGTTTCAGCTTTTAGTTTTAAAGATATTCTTTTCCTTTTTGCTTACTATGATTTCCTTGTTGGCTAAGTTAAGAGTTTCAGTAAGGAATTGCGAAATTGCACTAGTACTCTAAATCAAAACAAATCTATGAGAAATTGTGTTCCAAAAAAAAATAAAGAAAAAAGAACAGATCCCGAACCAAATAAATCACCAGGAATTATATTGTATATATCATAATGGTATACTGTTTTATTTCACAACTAACAGCATGTGAACAATGAACTTTCAGCATTTGCACCAAGTAATGTTCCAATATAATTTAATGTTGGACCCAATCTCGTTTTTTTCCTGAGTAAAATTGTATGAAATCCACATTGTACTCTATGAAATATGAAAAACAACATCATCATGGAAGGGCGGTGTTCAATGAACGCAAGCCTAGTTTTCATTTTTACCGAGTACTCAGCATTGTATAATAACTACCTGTAATTACCTTAAAATCAAGAAGTTATGTATATCTTTGAGTACAATACTGAATTTTACGAGACTAGTACGCAGCTGTCAAACCTATATTGGAATAGGCAATAGTTGAGGCAAATATAGGGTGTGTAGATGTTTACGAGACTCATTACAATAAGTATTGTATTCATAATGACTCCTTTATTTCACACCACCACATTTTTACACTTTGTTTTTCCGAGTAGAATATAAATTTGATAAGGATTTTTGAACTCAGAAAATGAAAAAGAGGCCATGGGTAGAATATGGATTTTATATAGATTTTTTACTAGGATAATGTAAACGTTTTATTTAGATGGAGTACAATATGAACAATATGAATTTTATGTGGATATTTTGGACTCTGAAAATGAAAATAATGCTAAATGGATAAGACTGGATTCAATAATATTTTTTTCTGGAATACCACGTGATGCAAACGCTGCAAGTCTATTGGTTACAATGTGCATTATATACTGGTGAATGTCATAAATGAAAAATTAAAAGGAAGAATAGAAATCAAATGATCTTCCTTCCATTTAAGAATTCATGAAGTTAAAATGTCCCCAGCGGTCTTTCGCAGCTAATGGTACACTTCAAATGTAAGCATGTGCATTATATACTGGTGAATGTCATAAATGGAAAATTAAAAGGAAAATAGAAATCAAATGATCTTCCTTCCATTTAAGATATATCTTAAAATGTCATGTATGTATTTTTGTTAATATAAAAATCGAACCTTTCACGCAATCATTTAATATTTCATTAGTTGATGTATTGGGCCAATAACACAAGTAAACACGTTTTTGATAAAATATAGCAGCTACAAACAGTTCTCTGTCCGAAAGGAAACTCTAACAACAAGATCATCATCATCATCATCATCATCATCATTATCATCAACAACAACATCATCATCATCATTAACAACAACAACAAAAACAACAACAGAAACAGCAACAGAATCCGCACTATCACCAACGTCATAAACAACATCATCATCGTTATGTCAACAACAACAAGATCAGCATCATCATCTCTTCGTTTATTATATACTCTATATTTCTTCTAATTTTACTATTTCGTAAATTTCTTCAAAAGATGTGCAGACGCAGGCCCGACTCTTAATCTATGAATAGCTTTAGGAAGTCATGATTCAAATGGTGAGATACAATATTTACAACAATTACATGTTATAAAATATAACGGAGGATTTGTACTCCACTATTTTGATCTACATATATTTTCCTATCAGATGGATTTATTTCCGGATAAATCATCAATAGAAATAGCTGTAATAAATTAGAAGGAGTATTATAAATGCACTTGTAATTTATGGGTTTTGAGTGGTAGATAAAATTTCAAGTGATCATGTTTTATCTCGCCTAAACGGCTAACATTTTATAAACGAATACATTGTGATGTTATTGGCTCCGGGGTAGGTACGCTATAGGTAACGAAGTAAAGTGAGCTTATTTAAAGTTATCACATGTTATCCTGTAATTTGATCTCCCTCCACCCACCTTCTAGTCATCATTATTATCATCACTATCATCATCACTATCATCATCATCATCATCACCATTATCATCAACATCATAAACATTATCAACATTACCTTCATCATCATTACCATCATCAGCAAAATTGACGACATCATTTACAATAACATATGCGTCAGTATAATCATTAGCATCAGCATTCACAATTAAAGAATCAACATCAACACCTTCGTCTGCTTCGTGATCAACAGGTACGAGTCGGTGTAATGAGAAAGAAGAGCCATCCACAAATGTTAAGTTGTCATACAACTCGTAATACAAAATTAAAGAGCAATATGTTTGTATATAATTATACATCCTGTAAGTTAATAATATATAAATAACCCTCAAATTTGTATTTTCTGGAATGTCCAAAACACTATTGAAATATTCGCACAATTTGTTTAATATTATATTGCCTAAAATATACTTTATTGACGCCATAGCTATCACCATTAAGGTATCGTCTTCAAGAAATCATCATAAATAGATCTTTATATTGGCATAACAATCAAATGATTATCATTTTCAATACCTCCGCCATAATGATACCATTTTAATCATTTCACTAACCAGCATTACCATCCACATCGTCGATATTATAACCATCATCATAATTATCGTGGTCGCCGATATTTTCGCCATCATCATTATTATCATCATCACTGTCGTCAATATCACCACCATCATCATCATTATCATCATTGTCATGACCAAAATTACCACCATCGCCGCCATCATCATCATCATCATCATCATTATCATGGTCAAAATTACCACCATCGCCACCATCATCATCATCATCATTATCATGGTCAAAATTACCACCATCGCCACCATCATCATCATCATCATCATCATTATCATGGTCAAAATTACCACCATCGCCATCATCATCATCATCATCATCATTATCATGGTCAAAATTACCACCATCGCCATCATCATCATCATCATTATCATGGTCAAAATTACCACCATCGTCACAATCATCATCATCATTATCATGGTCAAAATTACCACCATCGCCATCATCATCATCATCTTCATCATCATCATCGTCCTCGATATTATCATGGTGGTGATCATCATTAATATCATCGTCATTATTACCACCATTATCATTATCATTATCATAACCGTATCTTTGAAATAAAAGGAATGGTGATAATTATCATAATTATGAATTATCATCGACATCATCAACTTGTTTTTTCAATTTCGCAGAAACTTAAAAAGAGAACATTAATCTAAATTTCTTCGTAGTTGTTTGTTTTTCTGTGTGTTTGTTTACATTTTTAAAAAGCATAACCTGAAGCATTAATATATCTCTGTAATGCAGTTATCATGTTTTTACCAATACAAACGTCAATTACAATTTTGCTTTTGAACATTTTGACATAAGTGTTATTAAGCGGGACACATTTACAAAAAACAGGACTCTGTTCTTGCTTTATGTTCTTATTATTTTTAGTATTCGATCCTGTGAATGGATCCAGAACCCTTTGTCTTTTAAAACATAACAACTTTCAAATACGGTTGCCAATTCAAGCCATTTCATTTGTTTTGCCTTTACGACAGATGTTTAAGCAAAAGTATGCAAAATTTGTTGTGTCTGCATTTTTATATTTTTGTTTTTCGTATTTTTGCTTTTTCTTTCGCATTATTTTTTTCTTCCTTTTTTTGCATCGTTGCATGGTGGCATTTACGTAAATTCGGATTTTGTCTTGTTGCTTTTTTTCATCCTCGCGGTTAGCACGTCAGTATAATACAATAATTATGTGCTATGGTCCGCACGTATTAAGGTTGTATTTTTAATGAAGTATTGGAGAGAGGGGTGTTGAATAAATTGAACAATTAAGAACATATAGTTAAGTACATTGGTGTCACTTTCCCGCATTGCGCTAGTGCAACTGAAATCCGAAAATGCCACAACAAAGCGAAAATGCATGTATGCAAAAAGCAGAATTTCAACAATGCGAAAAGACAAACTCGACATTGTTTTACTTTGTCGTATTTTGTATTTTCCTTTCGAAAAAGCAAACATACGGCAAATGAATTTTATATGTTATATTTCAACTTTCTTTTGTCGATTTTTCGCATATTTCGTCTCAAAAATGCAATTTCGCGAAGATACGACGAAGGTGGACATTTCATATCTTTGTGTTTTCACATTTTTGCATTTTGTTGTGAAGAAAACAAACAAAGCAAACCCCGAATTTTTTTAAATTAGCCACCATTCTAAAATATTTAGTCACAGTTTAAATATAGGTAAAGGGTACACACGGGCTATAAATAAGAAAGGCATAGATCTCAATTTCAAGTGCAGTGAGATAAGATACATACGACAGACCTGTGGTGACATTTCTAATTCTGGAATTCTTCACAAATTCAAAATTAATTTCAAATTCATGAATTCACGATTTCAACATACAGAATATAAGAATTTACGATTTCAACATAATGAATTCACCAATTCAGTTTCATGAATTCACAATTTCAGCTACAAGTCTTCACGATTTCAACTTCTCGACTTCACCACCCGAACTTCACGAATTCACGTTTTGAAATTCACGAATTGAACTTCGTAAATTCACGATTTTAACTTTTTGAACTTCACTTTCCATCTGACCAATAATTTTTTTTGTATTTAAAAGAGACAAAAACACCACATTACATATTTTTGGAATAGTTTTTCTTAAATGTTGCAGTAAAGTTCAATACATGAATTCATGAAGTTGAATTCATGCATTTGAAATCGTGAATTCATAAATTTGAAATCGTGAATTCGTGATGTTGAAATAATGAATTCATTAAGTTGAAAGCGTAAATCTGGAATTCATGAAGTTGAAATGTCCCCACCGGTCTTTCGTAGATACATGCACGTTTGATTTATACTTACTTCAAATTATATGGTTCCCTTATAGAATTTTAACAGAAAGTTTGAATATCTTACTATTTAAGTAAGTGCATGGGAATGTGTTAGTTTGTTATTTTATGTCGACAATAATGATCAGGAAATATCTCGTGTTCCAAAACGAAATGAGTTATGTTATCTCCTTCACGTGCATTTTAATAGTGGGTATCACTTTAAGTGAGGCAGCGGTAAGAACATTATTGATTGATTGATTAATTTAGGTTTGTTATTATTTTTTTTTTATTTTTTTTATTTTTTTTTTTTGCAAAATCAAAATAATTATGGTTATATAGCCTTTTTCGTAATATTTTTCCATACCTCTATTTCATTACATCCGTTACACATGTAATTAAAACGTCAATTTAACAGTTATGATTGAATAAAAAAAATGAAGTATTTTCAAATACCTAGAAATTGTTCAAAGAATGATCAAAATACTGTCTTAAAGATTTCGGTAGTGTCTTAACGTACTTGTCTCCATTTTTTTTGTACGTGCGTCCTTGGTAACCTTGGCTATTTTCCGGTATCCGGAATATGTACCATATGTGTTCCACCTCGTATTTTATAATCTGAATCGCATCGGTATGACCAATAACGATAGAAATATCTTTTCAAATAGATATTAATATGATTTTATACGACAGTTTACGATACTTTCCGAATTTTTATATATATTTTTCATTTTTTATGGACTATGTTAATCATATTTAATTCTCTTTCTACCACAGAATTTCAGTGTGTGACAGAGAGATAAAAAACGACTGAAAAGTACAATTATTTCATCTTGGTCAATATATAGGATGAGTAAAACGTTGTTTTTTCATGTTCTATCGTATACTTATTTTTTTTTTCATTTTCATGCCATATAGTTATTGGGGTTTCTTTTCATGTCCATGATGTATATTTATACTTAACATTGTTTCATAGTGTCTTCATCATGATTATATTTGTCACACGGGGATAGCATGTGTTTGAACTCACATAATATTTACCTACATTTTATTTTGCTATAGACGGTACAGAAAGACAGCGAGTGTGGCAAGACGGTCGGATGTTTCCATGATTGCTCGGGCGACACGTGTAGTTTTCTTCTCACGTGGATAGAAAAGGGAAGTGGCATAGAATTGACGCTAACATGTGCGAGAAGCGAAACAGATCCTTACTGTGCCATAGGTCTTTCAGATGACACGGAAATGGTAACTTAAAATAGTATAACTCTTGAAGTCAATTGAAAGACATTTTACTATAGACATTGTAATTTTTTTTCAAGTAGGAAACTTTGTACACGAAGTGTTTCCAGACAAAAGGTGAACCTACAAAGTCTCAACGAGAGTTATACACTGTTGTTAGAACTTAAAATCCTTATTACTTGAATGGTCCATAATCATGAATAATGAATATTATATTTTTATAGCTAAGTAACCGTGAATGTAACAAAGCGTGATATTTCGGTTACTGAAAGACTTTTAAACATATGAATCCAACATGACTGCTATTTCTTATTTGTATTTTTCCAGCATAAAGATTCGGTTTCCTCGTCGGAAAATCTCATCATGATGAATATATTTTATATTACATTGTATTTATATATATAAATAAATTTTAGAAATACAGCATAGCAGTTCAAATAATTGATAATGGATTATTCCTTACTGTCAAATTTAAGAAAAACTATTCCAAAATAATGTTATGTTATGGCTTTAACACGTGTTTTGAAAATAAATATACATGTATAGCTATTTAATGTAACTGAAATCTTGCTAAGTGGTTAAAACAAAGGACTAGTCATCTCAGAATATACACGTGGACAAGCTCTTTGTTTCCTTGAGCAAGAAGGTTTACGTAGTATATGTTTTGTATTGGTAGGTTACAGAAAATCTTTCGTGTGTGTCTTTAGGCTTATATTGTAGCTTCTTACACAATCAGATTAAAATGAATTCTGTATAAACTAATACAGGGCGATGACAGTGTGTTTGAATGTCTCTCCACTAGTGGAACACCTAATATTTATGTCTCGCACAATCCGGGAAAATATAACGTGCGACTAGATCAGGTATATTTTTTACATATTTTTGGTCTTACTGTTTATCATTGCCTCCTTTTTGACATTTGGCCTTATGAGGGAAGAAATCAAACCACAAGTAAGATTTATAACCTACCCATGAGCGACAGGCTAATATAAATAGCACTGTATATCACGGACTATTTTAACAATGTAATGTTCAAGGCACATGCAATTTTCATTGTAGTACTGTAATCAGAGGTCATTATGTTCACAGATATCTTTAATAAAGTCGAACAATATTTACTAAAGTAGATATAAAGATTGTGTTTCTACACATAGCATTGTTTGTCTCTCAAGTAGTTAAAAGAAGCGAGTCTTTTGATTGGGTCTTACTTGAATTTTAATAGCAAAAGAGCAAAAGAAAATTACTTCAAATAGAAAGAGAGAATTCAGTTTGGAGTTTCTATCAATTTTAATTAATGTATTGGGTTTGACAAAATCAGATGGGATCTCTCATTTAAGTTACAATCTCACGGAAAAAATCTCTCCCATGGAAGACACCGCCCTGTTCTCATTTCCGGCGCATTCTTTTAATATATATTTCTAGAAACAAACCGACCAATTACGGTTCAACTTCCAGGCTTTGAAATGTTATTTATTTAGAATAGGTGGCTAATATATTTAGAAACTAAATCTGAAGCTGGCATATTTAAATAAAATAAACTCTGCTAAACATTTGATATACTTTCGAAACGATAACATATTGTCATTAAGTCCCATTTGTATATTGAAATCTGATGAACGCCGTTTCTTTTAATCAATTTGAACAGAACCAGTACGGATTGTCTGCTATCAATACATCTTATAGTAACGGGCAGTTGAAATGTTCGTTTTTGAGACGTAAAACCTTCAATACGGTTACAGGCCGCAAGAAACGTGCTGCTCCCAGTGCGAGTAACTTCTTCGACATGGACACAGACTGGTATATACTGTATGCGTATGGAACAAACACTGGAGGTAAATAATGTAAACTAGACGTAGTTGACTGTATAATTAAAACATACATTCACAAAAGTTTTTCAAAGTGTTGTCTGGCGGAGGCTGGTTAAAGTTGTGCTGGATATCGGCGTTTTTCGAAAGTTTTGAAATTCTGTTGTAAGTTGTGATCATTTAAAAATGGTTCCAATGCAGGCTTAAGCTTTCAGAGAGGTTTTGTGAACACAGTTGACAAACTTCTCCTGAGGCGCATGTCACCTTCGCAGAACACTTGTCTCACGGCGGCCGACAGACATAAACACGACGGCCATGAAATAACAGAGTGGAATTTTCAGGGCTGTAGAAGTGCAACTATAGTGTACAGTTTGTTTATTGGCATGTCTTGTATTCCACACTTCCATTCCTTTCTCGTTCCTGTATATCTCATTCAAACTGCAACAAAATACACAAAAGGATATAGGATATAGGAGTTGACCAATTAATGCATTTTTATGATATATGTATATCTAAAGAATTATTTTTATAAAATAAAAAAACGGTAAAGTTATGTTGTTTCCATAATGTTATGAAGAGTTTCTGTTATTTAACACTCATGAATATAGTACGTAAACAGAATAATATTTCCAGGTAAACACTATGACGCTAAACATTTTAGGTAGGATTTTAACTGTTTAGCATCTTACATTTGCTCTAGACAGGCACTTTGACGTCATTCTTTTTCAATAAAAGGCAGTAAATACAAAACGTATATAGCTCTATATAATTTAACAACATAATAAGGAAAATTACACATAAGTAAACGTAACTTGGCTGTGACAGATATAATTACAATGTACTTGCTTTAACAAAAGGTCGTCTGCGTCAAGAGAAAAAAATAATGCTGACAATAGCTTGTATTGCTGACTCACACTGACAAACGCTGTCAACGGCTAGTACACACTTACGTTATGGAACGCCTTTGTCAAACGCCAGCAAACGCTGGCAAAACGTACATAGCTTGTACCTTTAGGTAATTATGTGAAATCAATCCACAGTTATTAAGCTTGGATGATACTGTAAGCACAAGTGACTTTGTCTTGATTGGAGAGTTAGTCAAAATGGTGCAGGGTTTAATGTTTATTAATTTAACTTAATTTATGTTTGAAGAGTTAGTAATTATGATAATTATACGAAAAATGTTTTTACTTTGCAGGAGCTATCGGCTATCACACGTCACCACCGCTTGTATCCACGGCAAAAGCAGATTTTCAAAGCACAGTCGACATCAGCGCTACCGCTATAAAACAACCACTTGTCATAGCTATCACCATTAAGGTATAGTCTTCATGAAATCATCATACATAGATCTTTATATTGGCATAACAATCAAATGATTATCATTTTCAATACCTCCACCATAATGATAGTATTTTAATCATTTCACTAACCAGCATTACCATTTACATCGTCGATATTATAAACATCATCATAATTATCGTCGTCGCAGATATTTTCGCAATCATCATTATTTTCATCATCGCTGTCGTCAATATCACCACCATCATAATCATTATCATCATTGTCATGACCAAAATTACCACCATCGCCACCATCATCATCATCATCATCATCATCATCATCGTCATGGTCAAAATTACCACCATCGCCACCATCATAATCATTATCATCATTGTCATGACCAAAATTACCACCATCGCCACCATCATCATCATCATCGTCATGGTCAAAATTACCACCATCGCCACCATCATCATCATTATCATCATTGTCATGACCAAAATTACCACCATCGCCACCACCATCATCATCATCGTCATGGTCAAATTTACCACCATCGCCACCATCATCATCATCATCATCATCGTCGTCGTCGTCGATATTACCATGGTGGTGATCATCATTAATATCATCGTCGATATTACCACCATCATCATTATCATTATCATAACCACATCTTTGAAATTAAAGGAATGGTGATAATTATCATAATTATGAATTATCATCGACATCATCAACTTGTTTTTTTCAATTTCGCATAAACTTAAAAAGAGAACATTAATCTAAATTTCTTCGTAGTTGTTTGTTTTTCTGTGTGTTTGTTTACATTTTTAAAAAGCATAACCTGAAGCATTATTATATCTCTGTAATGCAGTTATCATGTTTTTACCAATACAAACGTCAATTACAATTTTGCTTTTGAACATTTTAACATAAGTGTTATTAAGCGCACTTACAAACTTGCTTGCATGATTTCAGTCGGCCATATTCCCTAGCCATGAAAGATAACTCCCTGTTTCCCTGTCTAAAATTCCACCAAATTATTCCCCTTTCAAATGAACTCAAAGAAGGGACCTTTTAAAAAGACTTTGTATTTATTTATTCGATTTTTTGTTCAGAAACGGACAATTTTTTCTTTACCTTTGTTTAATTTGCTTTCTATCTATATATGGTTCCTTTGGTAAACATATGAGTTTTGATGGTAAACAAATGAATTTTCTGAACCGAAAGTAATCTAACACACAGCGTTGCTGTCATCACATGTAAACAATACATTAAATCGGTAAGAATATTGAGATATTTGTTTGACTATCAGTTTCAAATGCAAAATACTAATATGGAAAACAACTTTGTGTAGTTTATGTGTATTGTTTTAATGTGTTTGTCTGATATTTTAGTTGTAAAAGCCATGTACACTTAGTGTCGCTTCATAGCAACCGAGTTTAAAACGTGAGCGGTAACTGAACGAGATATGGCAAAGCGCATGCTCGCGCACTGACTTCCGCTCTATCGAAATACTGCATATACGTATAGCGAAAGTTCGTAAGTGAAGCGGGACACATTTACAAAAAAAATAGGACTCTGTTCTTGCTTTATGTTCTTATTATTTTTGGTATTCGATCTCAAAGAAGACCGCCTGTGAATGGTTCCAGAACCTTTGTCTTTTAAAATATAACAACTTTCAAATACGGTTGCCAATTTAAGCCATTTCATTTTTTTTTATTTTTGCCTTTACGACAGAGATTTAAGCAAAAGAATGCAAAATTTGTTGTGTCTGCATTTTTATGTTTTTGTCTTTTCCTATTTTTGCTCTTTTTTTTCGCATTATTTTTTTCTTCCTTTTTTGCATCGTTGCATGGTGGCATTTACGTAAATTCGGATTTTGTCTTGTTGCTTTTTTTCATCCTCCCGTTACGCACGTACATATATATAACACATAATTATGTCATATGGTCCCGCACGATTAAGTTTATTTATTACTGAAATTAAAATTGTTTGAAAAAATGAACAATTAAGAACATTCATATTCAATCACATTGTGTAAACTTTCTCCGCAATGCGCTAGTGCAACTGAAATCCGAAAATGCCACAACAAAGCGAAAATGCACGTTTGTAAAAAGCAAAAAATTCAACAATGAACAAAAAGACAAACTCGACTTTGTCGTACCTTGTATTTTCCTTTTTTAAAATTTTAGTCATGAAAAAGCAATGATACGGCAAATGAATTTTATATGTTATATTTTACCTTTCTTGTGTCGATCTTTCGCATATTTCGTCTCGAAAATGCAATTTCAGGAAGATACGACAAAGTTAGACATTTCATATCTTTGTGTTTTCACATTTTTGCATTTTGTTATGAAAAAAACCCAAAGCAAACCACGAATTTTCTTAAATCAGCAACCATTCTAAAACATTTAGTCACAGTTTAAATATAGGTAAAGGGTACACACGGGTTATAAATAAGAAAGTCACAGATCACTATTTCAAGTGCAGTGAGATATGATACATACGACAGACCAGTGGTGACATTTCAGATTCTGGAATTCTTCACAAATTCAAAATTAATTTCAACTTCATGAATTCACGATTTCAACATACAGAATATAAGAATTCACGATTTCAACATAATGAATTCACCAATTTAGTTTCATGAATTCACAGTTTCAGCTACACGTCTTCACGATTTCAACTTCACGACTTCACCATTTGAACTTCACGAATTCACGTTTTGAAATTCACGAATTCAACTTCGTAAATTCTCGATTTTAACTTTGTGAACTTCACTTTCCATCTGACCAATAAATTATTTTGTATTTAAAAGAGACAAAAGTACCACATTACATATTTTTGGAATAGTTTTTTTCTTAATGTTGCAGTTAAGTTCAATAGATGAATTCATGAAGTTGAATTCATGTATTTGAAATCGTGAATTCATAAATTTGAAATCGTGAATTCGTGAAGTTAAAATAATAAATTCATTAAGTTGAAAGCGTGAATTCCTGAATTCCGTGCGTTGAATACTTATATCGGAAATTCATGAAGTTGAAATGTCCCCACCGGTCTTTCGTAGATACATGCACGTTTGATTTATACATACTTCAAATTATATGGTTCCCTTATAGAATTTGAACAGAAAGTTTGAATATCTTACTATTTAAGAAGTGCATGAAAAAGTGTTACTTGGTTATTTTATGTGGGCAATAATGATCAGGAAATATCTCGTGTTCAAGAACGAAATGAGTTATGTTATCTCCTTCACGTGCATTTTAATAGTGGGTATCACTTTAAGTGAGGCAGCGGTAAGAACATTTTTGATTGATTGATTAATTTACGTTTGTTACATTTTTTTGCAAAATCAAAATAATTATGTTTATATAGCCTTTTTCGTAATATTTTTCCATACCTCTATTTCATAATATCCGTTACACATGTGGTTAAAACGTCTATTTAACAGTTATGATTGAATAAAAAAAATGCGGTATTTTCAAATACCTAGAAATTGATCAAAATACTGTCTTAGAGATTTCGGTAGTGTCTTAAAGTACTTGTCTCCATTTTTCTTTTTTATTCCCTGCGGTCTGGAGACCGCAGGGTATTGGTACGCGTTTAACTTTTGAGGCATGGAGGAGCACGTGACCTGTTTTCGGTACATGGAGGAGCATGTGATCTGTAAACCGTACATGATTGGTTAATTGACCTTTTCGAAAACCTGGCTAAATACCGTTTGCCGGTACGTTACGGATAATCCTCTAGGGAATAAGTCAGAATTACACCTAATTAAGAACAAAAAACTATTACGTGATATTTTTAATTTTTTATAATTATAATACCGTTTAAGGTGGAAAAACTTGAATAATGTGTTTGAAAATTATCAATGTTTCTTTAATATGTATCTCAAAATGTTACAAACAATAAATTGTTTATACTGAAAATCTACAAAATTAAAATATTCGTAGTGGCATCTGCCATAATAAATAGAGATGTTTTCTGCGAAAACATGTGTGTTTGCTTTTTTTCTTCTTTTTTTTTTTTTGCTCGGAATTATTCATAAAATGGTAGGCCTATTTAATCATTTTCTTAAAAAGAAATAATTGTTTTATGTTCGACCTTCTCCGGTCATTAACGGTCACCAGTTTCCAAAGACCTTCTTCTATATTGATCGATTATTGTCAACTATATTCCTGATACAAACGTTTATTTATCCACCCACCCAAACAATGTTGAAGTTAGTTAAATGAAATATCTTTATATCATCAAAAATGTTCCCCGCAGGAAACCATTTTACTTGTACTACTTGACATACAAAAAGTATGTGCGTGATGACCATCATCCATGGTAACCCAGGCTATTTTCCGGTATCCGGAATATGTACCATGTGTTCCACCTCGTATTTTCCTAGTATAATCTAAATAGCATCGGTATGATCAATAATGAAAGAAATATCTTTTCAAATATATATTATGATTTTATACGAAAGTTTACGATACTTTTAATTTTATATATTTTTCATTTTTTATGGACTATGTTAATCATATTTAATTATCTTTCTACAACAGACTTTCAGTGTGTGAAAGAGAGATAAAAAAAAGACTGAAAAGTACAATTATTTTATCTTGGTCAATATATAGGATGACTAAAAGTTATTTTTCATGTTCATGTCGTATCCCAGCAAACACCTGACGTTGTTTCAACGTTGGATCTAAGTTGAATTTATGTCACGACGTCAAAATCCTAAATACAACGTTGAAACAACGTTGTATTTGCGACGTCGTATCAACGTGTTGGAATTACGTCGATACGACGTCGGATTTCAGTGTAATCCAACATAGTAGTCTTGATTGAGTTACTTCCCTTTGTTCTGATTTATAAATCCGATAGGTGGCTCTGATTTCAGGTCAATATAATCATTCGAATTTTGTTATTCATTTTTTTTCACATCCATTGTATATATTTTTTTAAAATTGTTGTTATACTAGACCATAAAAAGGCACAATATTAGTATTTCATTTAAATAAATTGAAAAAAAATAATGGAAACTTGATGAATTTCAAAACGAGGCTACACCAACAATTTGTTTTCAAATTCAAACAAAGGCAAAGGAAGGACATTATGCACATCATGGAAGACAATTTGCATAGTGAAAAGTAAGTGATATTTTTGATGGTAGATAAAAATGCATAGTATAATAACTGAAAAATTATTAGTTACATTAAGAATATAATTATATTTTCATGATATTCAATTATCTCAGTTCTAAACCAGTTAATTAATGTAGTCTGATTCGCCCTCATTTAACTCGTACTTTGGGATTCAATTGATATATAAATTGTATGAAATTCTGTCAAACTTTTTGTTTTATTTGTGTTGTCATTTTAAGCCAAGATCCCTACATGACCTTAATCTCTCTAATTCGATTTATCAGATTAGTAGACTAGATAACAATAGGTATTTCACCACAATGTATTTGTTAACAAAGGAACACCTGTCAATATTTGAGATTTAATCTATTTCTATTCAAATAGATCTACATGTAAAAGGTCAAAGTAGGGATCTATCAATACATAAGTATACTGTCAAAGTAAATTTTTAACTTTTTGTCAATAATCATTGGGTTTTGTTTTTTTATAGACTGACACTTAATTTTTGTGTGATGACAATTAGCTGATAAGATTGTATACATGAACAACAGTCGACAGAAAACATCATTTGGACATAAAAAGAATGATAAGTGCATCAAATTAAGGTAATATATGGATTTTGATTTGTTATTTACTGTTATTTCTGTTTTGTCATAATTAACTGTTCATCAAAAGTAAAATTATAATAACGTAAAATGTCTTATGATTGAATTTGCACCTTTACATGTTACTGTTTTGCAAATTACATATATTTGAAGTTACAGTTTTTGAGTGTTCTACATCATCAATCGACGTCTGATTTCAATTTATGATATGTTAGGGTAATTGATAATATTATTTTTATTTAATATTAATTGACCATTTTGGTTGTTATGTACACCTATTTATTTCTGTTTCATTTTTGCAGTTTCAAGGAAAAAAAAAACAAGTTCAACCTCAAAACAAGTTTGACACAGTGTCTTCGTAGATGAAAATAATCAGGATCCAGTGGTGGACGTTTAGTATACCAGAATTATTCACATGGAGGAGTATATCTCCAAATTTAATATATTTAAGTTAGTTTTGAAAGAATAAAGATAAAAAATTACTTTCTTTCTTTAAATGTGAATATTTATTTATTGTTTTGTGTGTTACACTTAATTTTGACAGAAAGGAATATTTTCCCTCACTTATCAGATTTGTTACCGATGAAATCATCTGCAAAAGAAAGCTTTATTTTCCATGATTTCCATTTTCTATGAGTTATTTAAAAGAAAACCTTTTTAAGCATGTTGTAAACATGAATACTTTAATTGACATATATTGTAATAGTTAACACTGTATAGTAGACCTTTATATGAAAATGATTTGTTGACTGTTGTTTGTTATAATTTTGGATTACAAAATGTGTATTATTGTATTGACTGAAAGAGTCTGATAAATGTTGAAGTTCAATTTTGAAAAGACATGTAACTCTTTTTTTAATTTTAATAGTTTATATACAATTTATAAATATCAAACTTTATTTTATTATCACTATAAATGATTAAAAGTCAGTCATTTTTGTGATGTTAAACAAATGTGTTGGAAATATATATTTACTGTATATTAAGTTTTACATGAATAGATAAATCAGAAACTGTGTTATACATTTTGTTTAATTGTTTTTATGATCACTTTCTAAAATAATAAAATCACTTTTTGAGTATAGAAAGTTTTGTATTTTCTCTTTATTTGGGAGTTATTTAATGAAAACAGGTCAAATTTATGTTGGGAATTGGTTGGAATTACGTTGGAAACTAGTTGGTATTACGTCAGTAACTGGTTGGAATCATGTTGGAAACTGGTTGGATTCACGTTGGGAATAGGTTGGAAAGTAGTTGTATATACGTTGAAAAGAGGTTGGATTTATGTCATTTTATGACGTTGGATTGACGTCGGACTCTGACGTCTAAAAAACTTTCATATACAACTAAATTCCAACGTCTATCCAACGTCGGACTCTAACTTCTGAGCAACGTTGAAACAACGTCATGTGTTTGCTGGGATAGTTTATTTTTTTCATGTTCATGCCATATAGTTATTGAGGTTTCTTTTCATGTTCATTATGTATAGTTATACTAAACATTGTTTCATAGTGTCTTCATCATGATTACATTTGTCACACGGGGATAGCATGTGTTTAAACTTACATAATATTTACCTACATTTTATTTTGCTATGGATGGTACAGAAAGACAACGAGTGTGGCAAGACGGTCGGATGTTTCCATGATTGCTCGGGCGACACGTGTAGTTTTCTTCTCACGTGGATAGAAAAGGGAAGTGACATAGAATTGACGCTAACATGTGCGAGAAGCGAAACAGATCCTTACTGTGCCATAGGTCTTTCAGATGACACGGAAATGGTAACTTAAAATAGCATAACTCTTGAAGTCAATTGAATGACATTTGACTAAGGATATTGTAATTTTTTTCAAGTAGAAAACTTTGTCCAGAAAAAAGGTGAACCTACAAAGTCTCAACGAGACTTATACACTGTTGTTAGAACTTAAAATCCTTATTACTTGAATGGTCCATAGTCATGAATAATGAATGTTTTATTTTTATAGCTAAGTAACCGTGAATGTAACAAAGCGTGATATTTCGGTTACTTAAAGACTTTAAACATATGAATCCAACTTGACCGCTATTTCTTATTTGTATTTTTCCAGCATAAAGATTCGGTTTCCTCGTCGAAAAATCTCATCATGATGAATATATTTTATATTACATTGTATTTATATATATAAATAAATTTTAGAAATACAGCATAGCAGTTCAAATAATTGATAATGGATTATTCCCTACTGTCAAATTTAAGAAAAACTATTCCAAAATAATGTTATGTTATGGCTTTAACACGTGTTTTGAAAATAAATATACATGTATAGCTATTTAATGTAACTGAAATCTTGCCAAGTGGTTAAAACAAAGGACTAGTCATCTCAGAATATACACGTGGACAAGCTCGTTGTTTCCTTGAGCAAGAAGGTTTGCGTAGTATATGTTTTGTATTGGTAGGTTACAGAAAATCTTTCGTGTGTGTCTTTAGGCTTATATTGTAGCTTCTTACACAATCAGATTAAAATGAATTCTGTATAAACTAATACAGGGCGATGACAGTGTGTTTGAATGTCTCTCCACTAGTGGAACACCTAATATTTATGTCTCGCACAATCCGGGAAAATATAACGTGCGACTAGATCAGGTATATTTTTTACATATTTTTTGTCTTACTGTTTTTATATAAAATCTGATGACACCGCGATTTATCATTGCCTTTTTGACATTTGGCCTTATGAGGGAAGAAATCAAACCACAAGTAAGATTTATAACCTACCCATGAGCGACAGGCTAATATAAATAGAATTGTATATCACGGACTATTTTAACAATGTAATGTTCAAGGCACATGCAATTTTCATTGTAGTACTGTAATCAGAGGTCATTATGTTCACAGATATCTTTAATAAAGTCGAACAATATTTACTAAAGTAGATATAAAGATTGTGTTTCTACACATAGCATTGCTTGTCTCTCAAGTAGTTAAAAGAAGCGAGTCTTTTGATTGGGTCTTACTTGAATCTTAATAGCAAAAAAGCAAATGAAAATAACTTCAAATAGAAAGAGAGAATTCAGTTTGGAGTTTCTATCAATTTTAATTTATATATGGGGTTTGACAAAATCAAATGGGATCTCTCATTTAAGTTACAATCTCACGGAAAAAAATCTCTCCCATGGAAGACACCGCCCTGTTCTCATTTCCGGCGCATTCTTTTAATACATGAATATATTTCTAGAAATAAACCGACCAATTACGGTTCAACTTTCAGGCATTGAAATGTTATTTATTCAAAACATTACATTAGAATAGGTGGCTAATATATTTAGAAACTAAATCTAAAGCTGGTATATTTAAATAAACTTAAACTCTGCTAAACATTTGATAAACTTTCGAAACGATAACATATTGTTATAAAGTCCCATTTGTATATTGAAATCTGATGAAAGCCGTTTCTTTTAATCAATTTGAACAGAACCAGTACGGATTGTCTGCTATCAATACATCATATAGTAATGGGCAGTTGAAATGTTCGTTTTTGAGGCGTAAAACCTTCAATACGGTAACAGGCCGCAAGAAACGTGCTGCTCCCAGTGCGAGTAACTTCTTCGACATGGACACAGACTGGTATTTACTGTATGCGTATGGAACAACAAACGCTGGAGGTAAATAATGTAAACTAGACGTAGTCGACTGTATAATTAAAACATACATTCACAAAAGTTTTTCAAAGTGTTGACTGGCGGAGGCTGGTTAAAGTTGTGCTGTACACACTAACGTTATGGAACGCCTTTGTCAAACGCCAGCAAACGCTGGCAAAACGTACATAGCTCGTACCATGAATACAGCTTTAGGTAATTATGTGGAATCAATCCACAGTTATTAAGCTTGGATGATACTGTAAGCACAAGTGACATTGTCTTGATTGGAGAGATAGTCAAAATGGTGCAGGGTTTAATGTTTATTAATTTAACTTAATTTATGTTTAAAGAGTTAGTAATTATGATATACGAAAAATGCTTTTACTTTGCAGGAGCTATCGGCTATCACACGTCACCACCACTTGTATCCACGGCAAAAGCAGATTTTCAAAGCACAGTCGACATCGCTATAAAACGACCACTTGTCATAGCTATTACCACTAAGGTATAGTCTTCATGAAATCATCATACATAGATCTTTATATTGGTATAACAATCAAATGATTATCATTTTCAATACCTCCACCATAATGATAGCATTTTAATCATTTCACTAACCAGCATTAACATTTACATCGTCGATATTATAAACATCATCATAATTATCGTCGTCGCAGATATTTTCGCCATCATCATTATTATCATAATCGCTGTCGTCAATATCACCACCATCATCATCATTATCATCATCGTCATGGTCAAAATTACCACCATCGCCACCATCATCATCATTATCATCATTGTCATGACCAAAATTACCACCACCGCCACCATCATCATCATCATCGTCATGGTCAAAATTACCACCATCGCCACCATCATAATCATTATCATCATTGTCATGACCAAAATTACCACCATCGCCACCATCATCATCATCATCGTCATGGTCAAAATTACCATCATCGCCACCGTCATCATCATTTTCATCATTGTCATGACCAAAATTACCACCATCGCCACCATCATCATCATCATCGTCATGGTCAAATTTACCACCATCGCCACCACCATCATCATCATCATTATCATCATTGTCATGACCAAAATTACCACCATCGCCACCATCATCATCATCATCGCCATCATCATCGTCGTCGTCGTCAATATAACCATGGTGGTGATCATCATTAATATCATCGTCGATATTACCCACCATCATCATTATCATAACCACATCTTTGAAATTAAAGGAATGGTGATAATTATCATAATTATGAATTATCATCGACATCACCAGCTTGTTTTTTTTCAATTTTGTAGAAAAACTTAAAAAGAGAACATTAATCTAAATTTCTTCGTAGTTGTTTGTTTTTCTGTGTGTTTGTTTACATTTTTTAAAAGCATAACCTGAAGCATTAATATATCTCTGTAATGCAGTTATCATGTTTTTACCAATACAAACGTCAATTACAATTTTGCTTTAGAACATTTTAACATAAGTGTTATTAAGCGGGACACATTTACAAAAAACAGGACTCTGTTCTTGCTTTATGTTCTTATTATTTTTAGTATTCGATCTCACAGAAGACCGCCTGTGAATGGTTCCAGAACCTTTGTCTTTTAAAATATAACAACTTTCAAATACGGTTGCCAATTTAAGCCATTTCATTTTTTTTTATTTTTGCCTTTACGACAGAGGTTTAAGCAAAAGTATGCAAAATTTGTTGTGTCTGCATTTTTACGTTTTTGTCTTTTCGTATTTTAGCTTTTTTTTCGCATTATTTTTTTCTTCCTTTTTTTGCATCTTTGCATGGTGGCATTTACGTAAATTCTGATTTTGTCTTGTTGCTTTTTTACATCCTCGCGTTGCAAATATATAATACATAATTGTGTCATATGGTCCCGCATGAATAAATTTATTTATTACTGAAATTACAATGGTTTTAAGAATATGAACAATTAAGAACATTCATATTCAATCACATTGTGTAAGCTTTCTCCGCAATGCGCTAGTGCAACTGAAATCCGAAAATGCCACAACAAAGCGAAAATGCACGTATGCAAAAAGCAGAAATTCAACAATGCGAAAAGACAAAATCGACTTTGTCGTACCTTGTATTTTCCCTTTTTTTAATTTTCGTCATGAAAAAGCAATGATACGGCTAATGAATTTTATATGTTATATTTTACCTTTCTTGTGTCGATCTTTCGCATATTTCGTCTCGAAAATACAATTTCAGGAAGATACGACAAAGTTGGACATTTCATATCTTTGTGTTTTCACATTTTTGCATTTTGTTATGAAAAAAAAACCAAAGCAAACCACGAATTTTCTTAAATCAGCCACCATTCTAAAAAATTTAGTCACAGTTTAAATATAGGTAAAGGGTACACACGGGTTATAAATAAGAAAGTCACAGATCACTATTTTAAGTGCAGTGAGATAAGATACATACGACAGACCTGTGGTGACATTTCAAATTCTGGAATTCTTCACAAATTCAAAATTAATTTCAACTTCATGAAGTCATGCTCATTATGTATATTTATACTAAACATTGTTTCATATAGAATCTTCATCATGGTTATATTTGTCACATGGGGATAGCCTGTGTTTCACCTTACATAATATATACCTACATTTTATTTTTTCTATAGACAGTACAGAAAGACAGCGAGTGCGGCAAGACGGTTGGATGTTTTCACGATTGCTCGGGCGACACGTGTAATTTTCTTCTCACGTGGATAGAAAAGGGAAGTGACATAGAGCTGACGCTAACATGTGCGAGAAGCGAGACAGATCCTTACTGTGCCATAGGTCTTTCAGATGACACCAAAATGGTAACTTAAAATAGCATAACTCTTGAAGTCAATTGATGGACATTTTACTAAGGATATTGTAATTTTTTTCAAGTAGAAAACTTTGTAGTCTTAGAAATACAGCTTAGAAATACAGCATAACAGTTCAAATAATTGATAATGGATTATTCTATACTGTCAAATTTAAGAAAAACTATTCCAAAATAATGTTATGTTATGGCTTTAACACGTGGTATTATTTATTGTTATTTATTGTTTTGATATAAATATATTGCTATTAAATGTATCTGAAATCTTGCTAAGTGGTTAACACATAGGACTAGTCATCTCAGAACTTGGGTTCAAACTTCGCCATGGACAAGCTCGTTGTTTACTTGAGCAAGATAGTTTACGTAGTATATGTTTTGCATTGGTTGGTTACAGAAAGTCATTCGTGTGTGTATTTAGGCTTATATTGTAGCTTCTTACACAATCAGACTAAAATGAATTCTGTATAAACTAATACAGGGCGATGACAGTGTGTTTGAATGTCTCTCCACTAGTGGCACATCTAATATCTACGTTTCTCACAATTCGGGGAAAAATAACGTACGACTAGATCAGGTATATTTTTTTACATATTTTTTGTCTTACTGTTTTTATATAAAATCTGATGACACCGCGATTTATCATTGCCTTTTTGACATTTGGCCTTATGAGGGAAGAAATCAAACCACAAGTAAGATTTATAACCTACCCATGAGCGACAGGCTAATATAAATAGCACTGTACATCACGGGCTATTTTAACAATGTAAGTTCAAGGCACATGCAATTTTCATTGTAGTACTGTAATCAGAGGTCATTATGTTCACAGATATCTTTAATAAAGTCGAACAATATTTACTAAAGTAGATATAAAGATTGTGTTTCTATACATAGCATTGTTTGTCTCTCAAGTAGTTAAAAGAAGCGAGTCTTTTGATTGGGTCTTACTTGAATCTTAATAGCAAAAGAGCAAAAGAAAATTACTTTAAATAGAAAGAGAGAATTCAGTTTGGAGTTTCTATCAATTTTAATTTATATATGGGGTTTGACAAAATCAAATGGGATCTCTCATTTAAGTTAAATTCTCACGGAAAAAATCTCTCCCATGGGAGACACGCCCTGTTCTCATTTCCGGCGCATTCTTTTAATACATGAATATATTTCTAGAAATAAACCGACCAATTACGGTTCAATTTCCAGGTATTGAAATGTTATTTATTCAAAACATTACATTAGAATAGGTGGCTGATAGAAACTAAATCTAAAGCTGGTATATTTAAATAAACTTAAACTCTGCTAAACATTTGATATACTTTCGAAACGATAACATATTGTTATAAAGTCCCATTTGTATATTGAAATCTGATGAAAGCCGTTTCTTTTAATCAATTTGAACAGAACCAGTACGGATTGTCTGCTATCAATACATCATATAGTAATGGGCAGTTGAAATGTTCGTTTTTGAGGCGTAAAACCTTCAATACGGTAACAGGCCGCAAGAAACGTGCTGCTCCCAGTGCGAGTAACTTCTTCGACATGGACACAGACTGGTATTTACTGTATGCGTATGGAACAACAAACACTGGAGGTAAATAATGTAAACTGGACGTAGTCGACTGTATAATTAAAACATACATTCACAAAAGTTTTTCAAAGTGTTGACTGGCGGAGGCTGGTTAAAGTTGTGCTGGATTTCGGCGTTTTTCGAAAGTTTTGAAATTCCGTTGTAAGTTGTGATCATTTAAAAATGTTCCAATACAGGCTTTAGCTTTCAGAGAGGTTTTGTGAACACAGTTGACAAACTTCTCCTGAGGCGCATGTCACCTTCGCAGGACACTTGTCTCACGGCGGCCGACGGACATAAATACGACGGCCATAAATTAACAGAGTGGAATTTTCAGGACTGTAGAAGTGCAACTATAGTGTACAGTTTGTTTATTGGCATGTCTTGTATTCCACACTTCCATTCCTTTCTCGTTCCTGTATATCTTATTCAAATTGCAACAAAATACACAAAAGGATATAGGATATAAGATGTGACCAATTAATGCGTTTTTATGATACATATATATCTAAAGAATTATTTTTAATTATTTTTATAAAATAAAAAAAACGGTAAAGTTATGTTGTTTCCATTATGTTATGAAGTGTTTCTGTTATTTAACACGTAATAGAAAGAGCACCGAAACACGAGGTTATCTGATTTGTACGAGGGGGCGTAGCCCCCCGAGTATTAATCAGATTACCGAGTGTATTGGTGTTCTTTCTCTTTTGTATCATAGTCAAACATAAAAACACGTTCCCTGTTGTCACAATATGAAACCCCGGCAAAAATGAACAAATAAACGAACATCTGAATATGATATTTTTGTCGCTTTCCCTTTCTCTGCCGTCACAATATGTAAACCCCAGCAAAAATGAGCCAATCAATGGGCATGCTCTGGAGTGCGGGTATCTAATACCCGCACTCCAGTTAACGCACTGTGCATGTATATGTATACGATTTAACCCTGACACATTTTCAACAGAAAGGTCCCCAAACTATGATACAATCAAGAATATAGTACGTAAACAGAAAAGAATTTCCAGGTTAACTATATGGCGCTAAACATTTTAGGTAGGATTTTAACTGTTTAGCATGTTACATTTGCTTTTGAGGAAATATATCAGCATACTTCTTTTAGACAGGCACTTTGACGTCATTCTTTTACAATAAAAGGCAGTAAATACAAAACGTATATAGCTCTATACAATTTAACAACATAATAAGGAAAATTACACATAAGTAAACGTAACTTGGTTGTTGACAAATATAATTACAATGTACTTGCTTTAACAAAAAGGTCGTCTGCGTCAAGAGAATAAAAAAAAACGCTTTG